GAAATTGAAATTCGCCAGATTGGTTACGTTGCCTTTGGGACTTTATAGTAGCCCAGGAAAGAAATTTACACCCATAATGGCATATCATTTGCAATAGTAGACAACCCAAGGTATTGCAAATGGGGTATGTCCAGTCTTTTTTAGTAGCCATTTGGTCACAAACACTGGCCAAAGTTAGTGTTAGTATTTGTTTGTGTGTGAAAAATGCAAAAAACGCCAATTTTGGCCAGTGTTTGTGACTAAGTGGCTACTAAAAAAGACTGGACATACCCATTTGCAATACCTTGGGTTGTCTACTATTGCAAATGGTATGCCATCATTGGGGTAATTTTCATTCTTGGGCTACCATAGGGTCTCAAAGGCAACGTAACCAATCTGGCGAATTTTAATGTGAAAAAAATAAAACACAAGCCTTATATTTGACGCTGTAACTTTTGAAAACACCATAAAACCTGTACATGAGGTGTACTGTTGTACTCGGGAGACTTCGCTGAACACAAATATTTGTGTTTGAAAACAGTAAAAAGTATCGCAGCAATAATATCATCCGTGTAAGTGCTGTTTGTGCGTGAAAAATGCAAAAAATGTCACTTTTACTGGCGATATCATCGTTGTAATACATAAGTGTATGGCAGTGTTTGTATGCAGCAACATTGGCCTACTATGCTTAGGGCAGAACTTTTTGTCTTATTATTTTTTCTAAATCTTTATTGTACCTGCTAATCTCTCTGATTTAACCTCCCCCTGCAATTAGCTTATCTTTAAAACTAGTTCTACAGAGGGACTATATAGATTTTCACTCTACCAACAGATTCCTCTATTTTTATTAGTAGGCAGAGATACCGTTTGGTTGTAGTTCTTATTTTTGGCACGAAATAAATAATCACCTAATCAAATAACAAAGTTACATTTCTCTGCTACTACACTGTATCCATTTTCCTACATTTGACTGCAGTTATGTGTTTTCTGATGTTTCCATATTGTTCCAATTCAAATACCATCTTGGGGATTTTCATTTGATTTCTCTAAACTCTATTCTTTACCATGGGGAATTTTAAAACACTGGATGTCAGCATGCAAAGCGTCAGGACGTCCAGTGTCGTTTAATAGCTTTAGACTCTGTGAAACTTCAGGAAGCGTCTCTATTGACTGTCTGGGAGACAGCCACTAGAGGCAGTCTTAACCCTGCAATGTAAACATGGTGGTTTCTTTGAAACTGCAATGTTTTACATTACAGGGCTAATGGAAGAGGGACAGTGCACACAGACTACTACAATGAGATGAAGTGGTCTGGGTGCCAATAGGGTTCCATTAAGTCACCATCTTTAGATGTATGGCAGCCATTCCATTCAAGTGTGTGTTTAATTCCAACACATGCATACCTCATTCTATTTAATGAGCTACTGATTAGGTGATCATCTGAACCACGTTTGGTTTAATGAGGAAAATAATGAAAACCACTGTAGTAGTCAGCACTATCCTCTTGCAATAGGACCAGCTGCATGGAAAAGACAGTGCTAGTAGTACCCAAAAAGTAATTGGAATCAACAAATAACTATTAACCAAAGATTGAAAAGGAAGGTTTTGAGTTTTGAAAAGAAGGGTTCAATTCTGTCTGTACTGTACAGAGGTATATAGTGAGCGTTAGGTTGCTTTTATCCTTAAAATTTCAAAGATGGCTGTTCATAAGAACAAGTTCAAGCAGCACAAATATTTTACAAAGACCCTGATGGTGACATCAAGTTTGGTGTGTGGTAGCTTGGGGAGGGCCTGAAGCTATCCCTTGTGGCTGCTGCCATGTCTAACCAGGTCATCCTCTTCGGCTCCTGGTGTTTTATCAGCCAGGAGCCCTTGTTGTGCGCATGCACAAGAGTACAACACTGAGGTCTATGGAGGATACTGGGAGATCACGGGATCACTCCATAGATAATGCCTTTTTTAGCACAGTCATCACTAGAGCCACCGTAAGAGTAGGATAAAGATGTTTTACCTCCTTTCTATCCCATCTGGCAATCACAGTGCTACAAAAAAGCAGCATCTCCTCATAGAGATGCATTATACCAATGCATCTCTATGGGGAGCGTTTGGCGTCGTGATGCAGATCGTGATTGTAAGACCGTAATAGGAAGCACCGCTATAGGCTCTATGAGTGACAGCCGCTTCCAGTGTTCTTAGAGGCAAATGTAAACACTGTCTTTTCACAGAAGCAGTGTTTACACACAAAAATAAAGCAAGGAGAGTCTCCTTACATCAGAACCACTACATTCATTTTTAGTAGTTTAATAGTGCTTAAAGTGTCCTTTCCAGTTCCAGGACTCCCAGCAGTCCTGCATTTGAAGTTCTGTATCATTAGACCATACCTCCCAATTCCAGCATCTAGTGAAATGTGGCCACCGTGGGGAGATGTAAAGGGTTTGGGGCTGTCTCCGCCGCTCTGCTCAAAGGGGTGGCTCACCCAGAAAGGGGAACGGGTCAGCCGAAATACTGGCCGATTTATTTATTGATTTATAAAATATTTTACAGGAAAGATACATTGAGATTTTTCTAGTTTTCAAGTATGTCCTGTTTCAGTGTTCTCTACAGGGTCCTTGTGACCTTTACATAGCGCAAGCGCATGATGCATACGCGCTAGGCTTGTTGGGGACAGTTCCCTGATGTCCCCCAAAATGGGAATCCCACGGAACCTGAAAATTGGGCCTGTCCAGCGAAAATTGAGAGGGTTGGAAGGACTATTAGATGCACTCAGGCTGTGCAGCGGGCACTAAGACCTTGCACTGAGTGCTTCAGCAGAGCTCTGGCTATTCCTCTTCTCCTCCTGGCACTTCAGCTGCCAACTTCACTGCTGATGGGAAAAAAATTTTTTTTAACCTATGCAGTGCTTAGTGAATATTCCCCTAGACATACGGAGCTATAAACATATGCATTACCTATAGATGTATTGCATACTGAGACATGGATTTAATAACATATATATTTTCCTATATCTACAAATACCTGGACAGGTCTTCATCGATGGTTTGTGGTGGGAGAGGGGCAAAGGGAATAGAGCTGAAGCACTAATTAAAGGCACTACAGGCGTAATTAGTACATCTGGAGATACCTTGCCTAACTCTCACCTGCAGTACCAGAGAAAAGGGGACTTGTCATACAGGTAAATAAAGAGTTAAACTGGCATTTTTTTTTTTTAAACGTACCATATTTTTCTGTTGAGAGCCTGACACTAGTTTCCACTATCGTGTATAAACATCCTGCCGTTGGAAAACATAACATTCTCTCTAAGTACCTGAAAATTTTAATTGGGTTCCTAAATCAAAGACTGTCATGTAAATCAGTTATTGCCTTGGTTTTAATACGTCTACAGGGGTTATAAGCAAGAATTTTCTCTCTTGGCTGCAATCGGTACTCAATATTTTTTTCACAGAGCAAGCTGACACAGAGCAACTACCCTTCGCATAGTTTAGAGAAGACATGGAAGACATGCGCAGTAGATTTCCTGTAATACGTAATGTTATATGAGAAAATTATACTTGTTTCACTGAATGTCTATGATTGGTTGATTTTGTCTTCTGTTGCATACACACCCTAAAAAAAGGTGTGTTTTTATATAATATAATGCACACGCATTAAAAAGACACTTTTCTTTCTTAGACTTCATCATGACTGGTCTACATTAATTGTTCTCTGCAGTGAACGTACAAAGATTAACCCCTTAGGGACCAAACTTCTGGAATAAAAGGGAATCATGACATGTCATGTGTCCTTAAGGGGTTAAAGGAGCACTATAGTGCCAGGAAAACAAACTCGTTTTCCTGGCACTATGTAGTCCTTAGGTCCCCCCCACCCTCATGCACTCCCTCCCGCAGGGCTGAAGGGGTTAAAACCCCCTTCAACCACTTACCTTTCTCCAGTGCCAGGGGAACTCTCCTCCTCCTGCCGACGTCAGCGTCGAATGCGCATTCAACCTGCCCATAGGAAAGCATTACTCAATGCATTTCCTATGGACATCAGCGTCTTCTCACTGTTATTTTCACAGTAAGAATCACAGAAGCAGCCTCTAGTGGCTGTAAGGGAGACAGCCACTAGAGGCTGGATTAACCCTCAGTGCTATGTTTACAGCTAAAGGGTTAAAACTAGAGGGACCTGGCACCCAGACCACTTCATTGAGCTCAAGTGGTCTGGGTGCCTATAGTGGTCCTTTAAGTAAAGCAGGATGTGTTAACTGCATAAGTCCATGGCACCTTAAGGGTTACAGACCCTGTAAAAGTTTGCAGCCTTGCTGCTGTACTCATGTGCATGTGCAAGAGTACAGGAGATTGGTCCAGCGAGATCCTTCATAGACAGAGCCAAGTTCCTTGGGAATTGACAGTTCTTGATAGTGGTAACTCCACCAAGTATCAAGAAGTGTCAGGTGTAGGAAAAGTACTAAATCAGCATACATATTGACCGGGTTGAAATTTCACTTAAATTTCAACACAATCCATGTGATTCTATCTTTATGAAATACAAATTTAGCAGGGGGTGACAGTGCCACTTTAATGTAACCAAAACTAGTTTGCAGTAATTTCTGGTTAATTGAAAACCCAAAATGAAGAATCTGCATTAGAAAAACTGCTAAATTGACTTTCCCCCGATTTAATTCTTTTTAGAATTCAGTGTTTAGTTCATGAACCTTGGTGCAGTTAACATGCACATAATTAGAGAATATTTCACAATCGATCACTTATAAACAGTATCATGCTATACATTAAGTCCATACTAATTAAATCAATGTATGTGAGCAATGAGTTCCTGTATAGTACTACAAGTCGCCTGCTGCGAAGTTTAACAACTTCAGTGCCTGAAGGATGCATTGCACATCGTATGGCAAGCACACAAAAAGCTTTGGAGAGGTTAGAGTGGTAGCCACCATTTTAAGAGTGTCTGCAGCAGCCATTTCATGCTGTAGCAGTTCATTGTCCCAGACTGGGAGGGAGAGAAAGGATAAACGAGGCGGGCTATCCTGAGAGGAGGAGGACTCGGGGTTAGGAGGGGCAGGCGAGCAGGAGTCGGAGGGCACAGGATGAACACAATAGGAAAGTGATGGGATCTAACAAAACTGGGTCAAAATGGCGATGAGTGGGTTTATAAAGCTGATAATAGCTCTGATAAATCTGCATTGCTGTATGTAGCAATTAGTGCTGACTATAGCAGTGACACAAGTTCTGTTTAAAGTGGTTGCATTTATATATATAAGGATGGTTTCGTGTGTCCTGAGTGGAACCATGTAGGTACCAATAATGGCTGTATTCTATTTATGAGTGACGTTATATACATTTATACTCCATAGAGTGATACTATGTGTGTAGAACTAATTTAGGGTGCCATACTAGTAGGTGTGACAATGTCTGTAGCAATGGTGTAGTATCCCTTTTTTTTTGGTGGCATGATATGTAGCACCAAAAAGACTGGTGTGATGTATAATGGCATAGTGTATATCCCGGTAGTGTGGCATAATTTTCATGAAATCTATTTAGAATGCCATCATTCTCATGTAACCTATTTAGAATACCATCATTTTCATGTAACCTATTTGGAATGGCATAATTTGTGTGTTTCAATAAAAGTAGTATCATACATATTTCGTGACGACATGTGTTCTTTTGTTTTTTTTTTACGCATAGCTCTGTGTATGTAATAATGAGTGATACCACAGTTACCCCATTAAAAAAAAAAAAAAATACACCAGGCACCAAAACCACTACAGCTAATTTAAGTTTGGTTTGACAGTTTCCCTGGGTGCCCACGTAGCACCCGGGCTTGTATTTAGTACTTAAAAATGGTCTTGTACTTAAAAACAAACTTGATTTCTCTAAAGACCTTAATACGACTGATCCAGTGCACTGTAGATGTTCTAGTGTGTGCAATGCTCCTTTAATGTGTGCTGTATTGATCTGTTTTTTTTTGTAATTTTTTTTTCAAACTTTGTTACATTCTGCAAATTGGCTGAAAACTCTGTGGGTGTGTTTATTTTTATTTTTACTTTCTTTGTTATGCAGTGATAAACAGGCTTGAAGTGACATGTCCACAAGATGTAATAATATATGAGAATAGACAGATGTATAATAGGACATTGGTGCGAAGTCTGCATTTTTTTTTAAACTCAAATGCTCAGTGCGAATTGTAGACTCTGTATATTTTAAGTGCACTGTAACCTCTTTTAGTTACTAAATTCCTGGATATGACATATACAAACAAATATAATGTAAAGCAGCAGGAGTTCATTATGTTTGTATGTCTGTGCTTATTATTTGTGCAGTTGAAGCCCCTGATTACCCCCACCTTCCTTTCCTCTCCTTTCCTCCCCTCCTCCCAGTCTCTGCTGTTTTTAGCACATCGAGCTCCAGTCTGTTTTGGATTCTAAGAACTGATGTAAGGCTTCCAAATAGTAAAAACACAGGGCCTCTTTACTTGTTATCCATAGTCAACATATAACATTCACACAATAAAACAGCTCCCTTCTATTATACAAGATCCCTGCACAAACAACTTTTAATTATGTTGGCTCCAGGAAGACAAGACATTGCATGAATTGCTAAACTGGTTAACAGAACATGTCAGAGCACTGCTCAATCATCAAATGAGATGCCTACATGGATGTTTTTAATCCATGCCAGGGATATTAAGAGAACCGTTTAACCTTTCCCGCACCAGTATTCTATTTGGAAACTAGATCAGTAAACATGTCTGTACATTTGCTTCTCCTCTATTTACTTAGAAAGCGTCTTGGGTCTTGTCAGTACCCTGTTTACTTCTTACTGTGCTGATTTTGATTTCACAATAATCTCACTGGAAGCTAATAAAGCAGCACACCTGTTTACACAGGAAGAGATAAAGTCTAACCCTAAACTCAAATTCATGTTTACCTTTGTACAAATGTATTACATTTTATTGACGTATTGTGCACTAGATTATTATAGAAACATTGGTGTGCGGCCCCATGCGCGTGTGTGTATTTACAGTGATTTGGGTGTGTGGACCAAGGTGTTTTTTGCCATGCGGTAATTCTACAGTATTGCTGTTTAAAGGAACACTACAGGCACCCATACCACTTAGAAACATAGAATGTGACGGCAGATAAGAACCATTCGGCCCATCTAGTCTGCCCAATTTTCTAAATACTTTCATTAGTCCCTGGCCTTATCTTATAGTTAGGATAGCCTTATGCCTATCCCACGCATGCTTAAACTCCTTTACTGTGTTAACCTCTACCACTTCAGCTGGAAGGCTATTCCATGCATCCACTACCCTCTCAGTAAAGTAATACTTCCTGATATTATTTTTAATCCTTTGCCCCTCTAATTTAAGACTATGTCCTCTTGTTGTGGTAGTTTTTCTTCTTTTAAATATGATCTCCTCCTTTACTGTGTTGATTCCCTTTATGTATTTAAATGTTTCTATCATATCCCCCCTGTCTCGTCTTTCCTCCAAGCTTTACATGTTAAGTTCCTTTAAACTTTCCTGGTAAGTTTTTTATCCTGCAATCCATGAACCAGTTTAGTAACCCTTCTCTGAACTCTCTCTAAAGTATCAATATCCTTATGAAGAAACAATCTCCAGTACTTCTTACAATACTCCAAGTGAGGTCTCACCAGTGATAGAAACAATTGAAGTGGTCTAGGTGTATAATTAATGAACTGCAATAGTTACCTTTGTGGGTTAACTCCACCTCTAGTGGCTGCCTACCAGACAGCCACTAGAGGGACTTCCAGGTCGTTGGGCAACTTTTGGTCACCTGACACTGGACGTTGTCATGCTATGCATCAGGACATCCAGCGTCACCAGAAACCCCATAAAACAAGCATTGTATAATGCTTTCCTATGAGGAAGTTCTAATGCGAGTGTGCCCATTGCCGTGCATGCGCGTAATTTCTACAAACACCTACATTAGCATTTTTTTTTTTTATGTGTATGTTTTAAAATAATTTTTAGAAGTTATAAAACAAACATTTGGAAGAGTGAAAAACGGTTTTAAAGCTAAAACTTTGCAAAATTTGATGTGCTGAGACTACAACTTTTATAGTAGTCACAGAATCCAAAACCACTGCACAAAATTATATATTTGTAAAAAGTACACCCCACGGGATATTTAACTAAAAACATTTTGACACTTTTCATTTAAAAATCCTAGGTCGAAGTATTTACATTTTTGTTTTTGACGCGTTTTATTTAAGGAATTTCAGACTGTCCCACTACTTTAAGCACCCCATCTTTGTATTCCGCCACTGTTCAAGTACAATGTATACCTGTTCCTCTAATCTTGCCCCTAATCCAAACCATAATCCTAACGCTCTCTATAATCCAACACCTAAAACTACTCATAATTCAACTCCTAATCCAGCCCTTAATCCCACCTCCGAGGGATTGCCTCTGCTGACCTCCATACTTAATCAGCAGAGGCATTTCCCAACTCTCACAGTAGAGCACTTTCTGAGTGTACTGCGTGATTGCATCTCCTACTCATGCTGCAGCTCCTGAAACAGTGATTGGTGCTGGGCAGCTTGCAAAGCCCAGCATCGATCACTTGACAACAGAGGGTCATGCTGGGAGACATGCTCATAATTGGGGCAGATTCAGAATCACCACGACTGAATGCGATTAAGTTGCACTCATTTAATGGGCCATGTGCAGCACTCACTTTGAGAGCTGAACACAGCTCAGACCAATAAGTATGTAGGGGTTTAGAAAAATGCCCTTCTCTGCCTCAGAGATTTTTCTTGCCTGTAGCTGAAGAAAGCAAGGTGAATTGTTTGTGTAGGACCCACCTAAGAGACTTGCCTTGGCATGGCAGGTGTGCTTACACCTAATGGTCATAGGAGTTAAATGAAAAACCTCCATTTGCATAGGGATTTGGGGTAGTGCGCAGGTAACTCTTTCATTTGTTTTTTTTTTATTGTATGTATTGGGGCTGATGTGTATTATGGTCATTGCTGTCGCCCAAGAGTAGTGGGAGTCTGAGCGCAGGACTTATTTTTGTGTATTATTATATATATAGCACCAGATTATTCCACAGTTCTTTACAATAAAAGGGGAATTTACCAAATGAGACAATAACAAAATGTAACCGGAACAATAAGTTGTTGAGGACCCTGTTCAAACAAGTTTACAATCTAGAACAGGCATCCCCAAACTCCGGCTGAATTACAACTACCATGATTCTCAGCCTATTTCATTCATAGAATCATGGGAGTTGTAGTTCAGCAACATCTGAAGGCCGGAGTTTGGGGAAGCCTGATCTAAAGGGTACAATTTACTTTTACATGGTGTACTATCTCATGCTCACGATGTAATATATCATGCCCGCGAGATGGTAATTCATGCGCATGATATAGTAAAAATTATGTAATTATAGGGGCTGGCCGATTTAACCACCTTATTGGAATTTAGTCAGGGACTGGAGCAGACTGACGCAGCAGGGAGTGAGGTATCTTGCGCGCACAAGTTAACAATGTCACATGCACTAAATAGTTAAAGCATGCACATGAGAACTTTCTTGTGCGCACAATGTTACAAATATTTTTCCTGTGAGTCTCCGGAGGATACAAAACTGGGTCCAAATGGTAGTTTTAGTAGGTACCCACTGACTAGAACATGCACATAATTTTAATCTGGGCATCCAGCTAATGGCTCCTATGAACAGATAACGAACTTGCAGCCCCACTGACTGATGACTTCTTTAACATTTTAATTAAATGAAATAGTTATTAACCCCTCCATTCCGTTAAAACCTACACTAACCCTAATCTAAAAATAGAATTTAATATAAGAGGTAAATAACCACAAAGCTTGTATTATCAGAAAATAATTCCATTGGGGTTCTAGTAACATTGATAATGATGTTAATACAATTGTTCTTAAAACAACAGCACATGGAGAGACAAAATAGTATAAGAACAGCCAGGTGCAAACCATATAAACACTCCCTCAAGTGCTTTAAATATTCAAATGTATATAGAATATAGAATGCACACTATAACAATCTCAAAAAAACTTAGCTTTATTATGTACAAAAAAGTACCAGAGTGAAAACATATAAGAAAAGATAAACAAAGTGACAGAAGCAAGGGCAACACAATAAAACAATAATAAATTACCACAAAAATTCTTACAAGCCTCAAGACAGAAACACGAGTCACCAAACCCCCCAACGTTTCGGCACCAACTGGCTGCCTTTATCAAGGGTACCTTACAACACAATTGTTCTTAACTTTTTTACGGGTCTAAATTTATGTAAATTGTGTAAAAAAACAAAACAAAAATACAAAGGGCAGTAGTGATTATGGCAATTAGATTGGCCTTTTAACCTACACAACTGAAAACAAATTATCTTATCACTCTTGCTTGCTAAAGATAACAAACAAATATAAACCACATGAGTCCTCCATTAAACACTACCCATTATAAATTCCTAAAACTAGTAAACACAAAATTAAAAGAGTTGGGTACACTTTATGGAACATTCCTTCAGTCAAACTGCACACAAACCTGTTGAAAATTTTGACTCAAAAAGCCTACAACCTGTATGACAAATTTTATTTATGATGAGTCCAGAAATTTACAGGGATTTTCCTTTACCAAAGACTTCTCTCGTATCTCTCTCTCTCTTCACATTACTTTTTATATTATCTTACTTGTTTATGGGGTTATATGCAAAAAGATGAAGTCGTGCTTAATGGAAATGGCAAAAATTGAAAATATTCCCCAGCTTGGTTAAGCTGGACATTTCTTACATGTCAGATATTTTGGCCAATATTGTTTTGCAAGTTACTTTGTTATTCTGTGGTAAGTGAATGCACTGCTCCACCCTACAAGAGACCTGTTTTTCAGTGTTAACCACTACTTTCTCCACACGGAAAGCTGGTCTCAATGCATGGAATGTGACACCGCCACTTAATAGTAGGTCCCCTAATGCTGTTTCTGTTGGGCATTAGAAGTTGAAGGGAAAATAGGTTCAAACAGGTTTTGTGAGTATAATTTGCATTTTTCCCCTTCATATATGTAGAATTATTTTCCATGTTTTATAAGGGTTTTACTGGTATTCATTAGCCTGAGACTAATCCAACTATTAAAAATCTGTCTGGCATTCACATGTCTGTATAAAACAGACGTGCATGTAGTGTCTTAATTGTAGAGATGCATCTTGTACGTAATGCCTGAAGTGCTAGACAATGCTTCTGTAGGTATCTGTGGGGTTAAATTACAATTCCATTGTTACACTTTGTCATTCAAAATTACAACTGTAAAAATCCAATATTTTAAGAAATTTTCAGTAGTATGTCTAATGGTTTGTTAGACATTTTATTAGTACATTCTCAGCTTGGCCAAGCCATTGCTTCCGCATTAGCCGAGGAGAGAAAATGGTTAAACGTTTGAAAACAGTTTAACACTGTAAGGTAAGATGGCACCTGGGAAATCCGGGCCCCATAATTTCATTTAGAAGTTATGGATCAGAGTGGCCATTTTTAATGAAAGAGGGCTGCTGATAAAATTGGGGGAGGGATTAGTGACCGTAGGATACTTGATAGGTTAACCTTGGAAATAAGATATGGAGACAAATTAACTGACAGCATGCTCAATATGAACAAGATTCGAACAGAACCCAAAAATGCTGAATATACATGTAGATGGTGGCAAGTAAATTTTATGGCTGGCTAGTAACATGGGACATGATAGTTTGACCCCTGTCCTATGTTACATAGACAAAATTAATAATTTACAAAAAAAATATTTATTCATGGTTCTGCCAATTCAAATGAGTGATTGTAGGTTTTGTAAACCATACATTTGTTTGTGTGTGTTCATCTCTCTGGCGCCAATTTTGCACAGAATTTTGAACAAAACCGGAACTCCAGTAGCAGACGGGTAAACTCTGCACATGCATTGTTTCATAATGAAACATTGCACATACTGATCCTGGTGCTTGGAGTAACCCCCTCAAGGCCAGAGTAGTCAAACTGAAAGCATAGATGGCTTAGTTGCTTGGGGGGAGGGGGTGAGACTTCAAGGTGAATTTCAAATTTAAAGGATCACTATAGTGTCAGGAAAACATGGCGCTGAAGGGGTTAAAACACTTTCAGCAGCTTACCTTAATCCAGCGCCGGTGACCTCTCCTCCCCTGCCGACGTCAGCTCCCAAGTGGAGTGGAATGCGCATGCGCGGCAAGTGCCGCACTTGCATTCAAACTGTATATAGGAAAGCATTTCTTAAAGGACCACTATAGTGCCCTGAGGGTGCCCCCACACTCAGGGTCTCACTCCCATGGCGCTGATGGGGGAGGAATTTCGCATCCAGCGTTGCAGGTGCGCCTCTAGCGGCTGTGAGGAAGAGGTTGGATTAACCCTGCTATGGAAACATAGGTTTACATCTGAAGGGTTAAAACCTGAGGGACCTGGCACCCAGACCACTTCATTGAGGCTAAGGGGTCTTGGTGACTATAGTGTCCCTTTAAGGTCAAACAAGCTTTTCTATCGAGAAATTGGTGAAAGGGGGCTTAGCACATCGAGGGTCTAACGATATAATTTATTATTTAGAAGTGGGTGAGGGTGCCATGTACTGAAAGCTATGTATACATTATCAGTAACATGGATGTTTTACACAAACATTTAAAGCTTTCCTAGCTCTGCAATTAAAGGGAAACTCCAGTGCCAGGAAAACAATCTGTTTTCCTGGCACTGCAGGTACCCTCTCCCTCCCACCTTCCATCCCAGGTAGCTGAAGGGGTGAAAACCCCTTCAGGTCACTTACCTGAGACCCCGCCGATGTCCCTCGGCGGTGGTTTGGGGTCAGCGTCGCTCCTCCCAGTATTCACGTCAGCTGGTGGGCGAGACTAGGGATCGACCGATTATCGGTCTGGCCGATATTATCGGCCAATATTTGGTATTTTCGGCAATATCGGTATCGGCCAATTCAGATACCGATATTGCCGATAATATATAACAGGACCGCCGGGCCCATTACAAGCCCGGCGGTCCTGTGGGGGCCAGCAGCAAGCGCTGACTTACCTTGCATGCAGCTCCTACAGCTCTCTGTGTAAATCTCGCGAGACCCGCGGCCGCAGAGCGTTGCCACAGGTTACCATGGCAACGCTCCGCGCGGCACTAAGAGCCGCGAGATTTACATAGGGAGCTGTAGGAGCTGCTTGCAAGGTAAGTCAGCGCTTGCTGCTGCTGAGCCACCACTGTACTTAACAAGCCACTGGACCACCAGGGAATACTATATCCCCCTCCCTGGTAAGAAGCAGGGAGGGGGGACTAAACAAAAAATAAAAACATTTCAATATTAAAAAAAATATTAAAATAAAAAATTACACAAATTACATCACTACACACACACACACACTGCACACATACTGCATTACATACACACTACACAAACACACACTGGGGGGAGACTAAAAAAAAAAAACATTTAAATATTATAAAAAATATTAAAATAAAAAATTACACAAATTACATCACTACACAAACACACACACACACTACACAAACACACTGCACACATACTGCATTACATACACACACATTGCATTACATACACACTACACAGGCACACACACTGCATTACATACACACACTACACAGACAGACACTACACACACCACAAACACACACTGCACACATACTGCATTACAGACACACACTGCACACACTACACTGCACACACACTGCATTACATACACACTGCATTACATACACACTACACAAACACAGTACACATACTGCATTACATACACACTACACAGACACACACACTGCATTACATACACACACTACACAAACACACACTACACACACACACTGCATTACATACACACAAAAACACACTGCATTATACACACACACTACATAAACACACTGCATTATATACACACTACACACACTGCATTATATACACACACTCTGCATCCACTACACACACACACACTACACAAACAAACACAGTTCCCCTGTCTAAACACACTTCATCCACTACATGTGGCATGTATATTTTGTGCATTTACCTTTCGAATTAGTTTATTTATTCAAAATAGTAAATGTACAGAATATCGGCAAGATATCGGCTATCGGCCTGAAAGTTCGCAGATTATCGGTATCGGCTCTAAAAAATCAATATCGGTCAATCCCTAGGCGAGACTGGTCCCGCCCGCCGGCTGAGGAAACCTAACGCGCATGCGCGGCAATGCTGCGCACACGCATTAGGTCTCCCCATAGGAAAGCATTGAAAAATATTTTCAATGCTTTCCTATGGGGAATTGAGCGACACTGGAGGTCCTCACACAGCGTGAGGATGGCCAGCGACGCTCTAGCAAAGAAAATCTTTGCTATGAATCAGGAAGTGCCCTCTAGTGGCTGTCTACTAGACAGCCACTAGAGGTGGAGTTAAAGGACCACCATATTGCCAGGAAAACCTACTCGTTTTCCTGGCACTATAGTGCCCTGAGGGTGCCCCCACCCTCTGGGCCCCCTCCCCCCGGGCTCTAGGGGGTGGAAGGGGTTAAACTTGCCTCTTTCTCCAGCGCTGGGCGGGGGACTCTCCTGCTCCTCGGCTGAATGCGCATGCGCGGCAGGAGCCGCGCGCGCATTCAGCCAGTCTCATAGGAAAGCATTCACAATGCTTTCCTATGGACGCTGGCGTCTTCTCACTGTGAAAATCACAGTGAGAAGCGCGGAAGTGCCTCTAGCTGCTGTCAATGAGACAGCCACTAGAGGCTAGATTAACCAATTTATAAACATAGCAGTTTCTCTGAAACTGCTATGTTGATAGAAAAAAGGGTTAAACCTAGCTGGACCAGGCACCCAGACCACTTCATTAAGCTGAAGTGCTCTAGGTGCCTATAGTGGTCCTTTAACCTTGCAATGTAATTATTGCAGTTTATAAAAAAATTGCAATAATTACAGTTGCAGGGTTAAGAGTAGTGGGAGTTGGCACCCAGACCACTCCAATGATCAGAAGTGGTCTGGGTGCCTGGAGTGTCCCTTTAATATACATAAAACACACAGTATCGTTGCTTCTGATCGCCACAGTCTTTGTTCTTTGTTTTTCTCCTGCAGGTCTGACATACATAGAGAAGAGAGAGCTGGGCGGTGTTTGTGGGAAGGGGAGCGGCCAGCTGTGTCTATAAAGAGGGTGGCTGACATTGAAAGCAGTCTAAGCACTTACTGACAGCTGACTGAGGTTGGCAGAATCCGACACGGTGAGCATACAATGATACATAGCTAATGGCAGTGGCACTATCGCCCTTGGCCTGGTTACATGTGATATGATGGGCGGTATAGACTCATGTTATCATACAGCTCTACATGACATTAAATATATACAGATATGGAGGTAGCTCTATCTGAGAAGCATGGTCCGATTGCGCTAACATCAGATATTTTGTGTTCTCTCTTTGTTTGTAGCCATGACACAAGACACTGCTCTAGATATGAAGGACGTGGAGCTGAACGAGCTGGACCCGGAGAAGGTCCCAATGGCCGCAGAGGCAGGTGACCCCCCGGTTGGTGGAGGGGGAGAGAAAAATGGGGTGGTCAAGGTGAAACTGGAGGATGAAGATGACGAGGGAGTCAGTACTCAGAAATTCACCGGCCTGTCCAAGGAGGAGCTGCTGAAGGTGGCTGGCACCCCGGGTTGGGTGAGAGTCCGATGGGCTCTGCTCGTCCTCTTCTGGTTGGGCTGGGCTGGTATGCTAGCCGGAGCTGTGGTCATCATTGTTCAAGCCCCCCGCTGCCGACCCCTTCCTGTGATGGAATGGTGGAACAAGGGCCCCATCTACCAGATCGGGAGCCCCGAGACCTTCCAGGACTCTAACGACGATGGGGTCGGTGATATTCAAGGTAAGTGGCCACGGAGCATCAATGTGCTTGTATGGAGTGTTCTTGGCTTATTACCACCGAGCCCATAGGCACCTGCTGTGAAACAGATTTCTGGAGTTTGCAGTAATGTGTGTGGTAGTTTCCTGTTCCATTGTGACTTTACTATGCCGGTAATGTGTGCTGATGTGAGTGTGACACAGCATGACTGAATTGCATCAGACACAGGAACCAGTGCCTGCCCTAGCCTGCCTACACAAAACGATTACACCAGCTGCCTCCCAGCCATTCAAAACCTTTTTGTATACGTCATGATTAAATCTTCTGTAATTACTCATTAGAATTCTGTTTTGTACAAGATGATAAATGTATATATTGTATGTGCTGATGGAACGTTGGAACCTTAAGGAATGGGTCCTACAACTACAGTCTGCAGGGCAAAATATGCCACTATTGGTCTCTAAAATTGTGAATACTTAAGGATTTAGTGTAACTTAAGTTTTTTTGTTTTTTTTTTCAAAATGTATCTCTTCACTGTCCAAGCAGTAGATTGTTAAAATTAATAAGGAAAGTTATAGTTCCAGAGAGATGGAGTGAGGCTTCTACCTACAAACAAAAGGGTACATAACACCACAGAAAGGGGGGGTTGGGGGGGGGAGAAACGATTTAACCACTGCATTCATATTTTACTTAACAATTTTCAAGTATCCAAATCATCCTGTTGGGCAGTTAAACACTATTTCCAATTTTGTAGTATTTAATAAGAAAGGTTGGTATACCTAGTATCACTCTGGGGGGGAAAAGTCAAGAAGCCATTGTCTAATAGTAAAGTGTGGTGTTTGAATGAACAATGAACTGAAAGCTGTATTTGAAAGATTGTGGGCAAAATAGCTGAGCTTGAACATATCTGCAGTGTTGTCAGATTGCTTATTCTGGCATACATTCCAAATTTGGTTTTTAGATCTCCACAGTTAACAGTGTATTGAATAAATCCAGGTCTTGTTGTAAGTAAGGAGCTAACTTTGAGACAGAATTGTATGTGCTTAGTAAATCCTTTGCATTATAGGCTCTCATATCCATTTTTTTTTCCCACCAGGAATACATAATCGTTTGGATTCTCTCAGCTCCTTGAAAGTAAAAGGTGTACTAATTGGACCTCTGCATGTCACTCGAGAAGACGACTTTATAAGTACTGAACTCACAAATATTGACCCAAAATTCGGGACTGAAGAAGACCTCAGTCAACTATTTGTAGCTGCCCACAAGAAAAGTGAGTACTCTTTATTTAGTCAAAGGGACACTATAGGTACCAAGTGTATTCCTAACACTATAGTTTTCCTTTAAGTCTGTCACTGTTCATAGTGGTGAGTACGCCACTGTCCATTTAGTTTTAGTCATAGTCTTTTGACTAACAAGCCTTTTTATTTTTTTTATTTTTTTATTAGTCATCTTAACCCCTTAAGGACCAAACTTCTGGAATAAAAGGGAATCATGACATGTCACACATGTCATGTGTCCTTAAGGGGTTAAAGGAACACTATAGTCACCTTAACAACTTTAGCTTAATGAAGCAGTTTTTGTGTGTATATCATGCCTCTCAGGTGTCACTGTTTAATTCACTGCCATTTAGGAGTTAAATCACTTTGTTTCTGTTTATATAGCCCTTGTCACACCTCCCCTGGCTGTGACTGACACAGCCTGCATGGAAAAAAAAATGTTTTCTGTTTCATTCAGATGTAATTTACCTTTAAACAATTGTATCTTTTTCTTCAAATTGAATTTTAATCACATACAGGAGGCTCTTGCAGGGTCTAGCATGCTATTAACACATAGCAGGGGTAAGAAACTAAATGAAACAGAACTTGCAATAAAGGAATGATAACTTTAGATGACTCTTTACAGGAAGTGTGTAGGGTGGGTGTGCAAGTCATAAACAAAGTGATTTAACTCCTAAATGGCAGAGAATTGAGCAGTGAGACTGCAGGGGCATGTTCTATACACCAAAACTGCTTCATTAAGCTAAAGTTGTTTTGGTGACTAGTGTTCCTTTAATAGTTTTAGTTGACTAAATATCCAGTAGAGTTTAGTCAACACAACTAAAATCTAATGGGTTTAGTTAAAGCCTCTATCTGTCTCTTTTGCCCCTTCCCTAGCCCTTCTGTGCAGTGTTAATTTTGGCACCAAGTTTCAATGTACTTTTAGTAATAGTCTTTTGACTAAGTCGTTTTAGTCGTATTTTAGTCATCTGATATGTTTAAGTCTACAAAATAAACCACCGGTGTACTCAAGCCTCAGTCAGTCTCAAACCGTAAGAGGGTGACTGATATAGTTGAGAATTGTAGTATGATGTGTGCTTGCTTTAACTCCTTAGTGACTGATGTCAGCTCCTGCTGTAATAGCAGTGTGGTTTGTAGAGCTAATTTTGCTTCCTGGAAGAGCCTGCTTGTTTAACATCAGTAGCTCTATGCAGTCCTAAGGTGTAAAAATATGTAAGGCCTTCCATGTCACTTTAAATGTTATGATAGCATAGTCCATTTGTTGGGGATAGCAATGATGTGCCCTATATAATGCAGCTTTATCTGACAGAGTAATGTGCTGAACTTCCTGTTCTTTTAGGTATTCAAATCATTTTGGACCTTACTCCTAATTACCTGGGTGGTAATGTATGGTTTAACCAGCCTGAAGAAATCAATGATATCCAGGACAAATTCAAGGTAAATGGTTGTTTTTAGATGATATTAAATGTATACTTTAATCTACCTTACATAGAACTGTATTATTTGTGAATAATTGTAAGGCAACAATTCACTGCTTATAAGTTATATAACCCATCTTGCCTCAAAAAAAACCAAACAACCCAAATAAATCACAGTAAAAAAAATAAAGCTATATGTTTCTTTTGTAGCAAGCAATGACCTATTGGCTGGAAAAGGGAGCTGGAGGGATATATTTCAGTGGAATGGAGGACATTCATAAAGTGAGTGATATGTGGATAATCAATCTAGTGACGATTCTTATTAGCGAGATTTCTCAGTATTGACTTTTCATTCTTTCTTCTTTGTAGTATCCTGAATTCCTTGAAGAATTGAAAAACATTACCTCTAATTACAGCACTGAAGAGAAAGCCAGGTAAATTCAAAGACTTCATTAAAGGGTGCATTTATTTTACCTGTTTATTTATTTATTTTTTCTTCTCTTAATGCTTTTTGTCAATCTTTACAATTCTGGTGCTCTGGTAACTCAAGTGACTTTCACAATTTTATGAAACCTGTCTGGCTGAAGAGACATGTCCTGCAAATATCCCTCTTTCTGCTCTCTGTAGAGTCCTCTTGGCTTCCACAGATGAATCTTACTTTGAAAACGTGCTGACCCTTCTCAACAAGACTGATGTGGGTCTGCTGTCTTCTCGCTTTTTGGTTGCTGCTAACTCAAGTAACCAGGGTGAAAACCCCTTGGGCAATCGTATCACACAATACCTAGAAGAGGTTGGGGATCAGTGGAACAGCTGGGCGGTAAGAATCAAATGTAGATTATTGATCATGTGAGAATTAACATGCACTCGTATCTGTTGTTGACTGCCAGCAATCCATGAATCAATAGCATTGGGTCTCTAGCAGAGCATGTCACCCAAAAACGTCAAAAGGCTTTCCATCTGTATTGCACTGCTATGTTTGTGTCACTCAGGAATTCAATTAGTAGCTAAAAAAGAGATTCCACGGAGTTACATAATGCATACCATCTAACACACTTCAGGATCTTAATGGTTTGTTTTTGTTTTGTTTTTTTGTGTGCACAGATTGGGGGACCACGGGTAGGACACTTGGCATCTTTGGTTGAAGAAAATCTGCTGCATGTTTACCAGTTCCTGCTATTCACTCTTAAAGGCACACCAATCACTCAGTATGGGGATGAAATAGGACTCAGGGATCTGTCTGAACAGGTATGTTCTTTTTATTCATAGAGGCTGGAACCAACAATTCTAGCATGTAATGCTATAATTCAGTGGGTGCAGTGCTTGAATTTTTTTTAACATTTATTTTTGGTTGTCACGCAGCCGGCATCTTCTCAGAAACCCTTTATGCAGTGGGATGATTCTGTGTTCTATGGCTTTTCCAGTAAGATCCTACCACAACAATCCAATATTAATGCAAATATCTCATTCAAGGTAAGAGTAAAGACCTGAACACTTAGCCAAACCGCATAAAATATTTGGATGGCAAGCATTGTGGTTAATGCATAACTTTTTTAAAAACTTTTAATCCATGATTATGAATACTAAGAGTGCCTCACAATAAGCACTTTTTAGCATTACTTTGGTAAATCATACCCAGGTGACTAAAAGGGAACTGCACTAAGTTTCATAAAATTATGAGCCATCATGTGACAATTTGCCTGAAGTGTCATAGTTAGCAATTATTTTAGAATTATGACATTCATATTTAGTCATTCACACATTTTCCTTGCAGCCTTGTGTCTTCTCTTAAGTTCTTCTTCCTCTTTTCCTTGTCAGTATGTCACGAGTCAGCACTTCAATCTCCTGCACAGCAGGATGTAGTGTCAGACACCCCAAATCACACAATTTAGAGAATATTTACTACGCTACTGGCCAGGCCTTAAAAGTTGCACACCATTGTGAGCTGGATGGATCCATCGCACTGTCACCAGGCGTACATTTCTCAACGCTTTGGATGCAGCCCACACCTGTAATCTAAAACTGTTAGAGGAGTTTCCTGGCACCCAAAGCCAGGTACACCTGCTACAGTTTGGCTAATGATGACATATTAGCTCTCCAAATTTGGGCAACAGTAATAGGCTAAAAGCTTTGGGGGTGGGTTAGTTCAGTGCTTTCAATCTACTATTGCCTCGCAAAGTTGGATGGCTTATTCTTTAAAATTCCTGGTTTGTTGAATAGCTCTGCTGTTCCAGAAAAATCTGAAATGCGTGTTGTGTTACTTGAAGTCTAAACTAGACTCCCTATTACAAATGAAATTGTTCTATAAATGTGTTGAGCAGGAAGATGGTTATCCTGTTTTTTTTATTTTTTTTATTTTTTTTGTACCATGCTTGCCTGCAGCCTGTGACCTTTCCTTTAGTACCTGCATTCTACACCTATCTTGGGGAAATCTCTGCCCTTTGCTCCTAGACTTGCTTTCTGCAAACAGCCTGATTAATTCTTGCTGTAGTTGGCATTCCAGACACCGGGAAGCTTTATGCTTTCCTGACTCAGCTGATTGTATTGTTTTAGGCTTCAGTTAATCCAGTTCCAACCAGCTCTTGGCTACAACCTTTGTTCTACTTAGCAACAGGCCCCAGCTGAAAACATAGGAAGGCAAGCACTAAAGTCATTTCCTAAAGAAAACATGCCCAAGGTGATCATCTCTGCCCCACACAATGACTGGACTACACTATCCAATATAGGGGGGGGGGGATTATTATTAATTTTTTTTTTTTTTTTAAATATAAACATTTTGTAGAGGTTTTTGTTTTAACTGCTTTTCTACATACATTACAGCCCATTCAGTCATCACTGGAGAGAGTACAACATAATGGCCGTGTGAATAAACTTAGACACTGACCTCGGGAACTGGGTAGAAGGGGAAGAAAAGAATGTGAGGGGGGAAAACAAATGAGGGAAACCATAAATATATTCCCAATGTTATAAGCTTTTTCACTCCCACCCTCCCAACCCTCCTCCGTGCTGTTGCCAAGCGACATTCTCTGGGACACATGGCCTTCTTTGCAATCGTTTAACTCTGTCACTGCAATGGAAGCGCTACTTGTGGTTGTTCGGAAGATAGCAACTAGAGGTGGATTTAAAACTGCAATGTAAACCTGTTTTACATTGCAGGGTTAAAAGGACAGGGTCATTGCACCCAGACCACTTCCCTTTAACTGCTGAGTCACTGAAATAGATAAAGGGCTAATTCGACAAAGACCAGATCAATGTTTTGTGTAGTTTTGAAACCAATGACCATTGTAACACAGATAGAACTGTTAACAAACATGCTTTCTGTTTAAAGGCACAGGAAGAAGATGCAAACTCCATGTTGAGCAAATACAAGCGCTTGAGTGAGCTTCGTGGAAAAGAACGAGCGCTCCTCCACGGTGACTTTCATATTCTACACAACGGTGACCGCGCTCTGGCTTTCCTGCGCAGTTGGGACCAGAATGAAAGATTCATCTCTGCATTGAACTTTGATCCAAACGGCAAGGTGGACATGAAGCTGGTTGGACATGACCTACCAGAGCAGGGCTCTGTGGCGTTGAGTTCAGATCCCCAGAGGAAAGAGGGGAGCAGCGTCTCACTGACACAATTTACGCTGGCACCAGGGGAGGCGTTACTACTTAAATATCCATACAATGGTTAACCAAATGTCACCATACAGGGGCATTACTAATACATTCCATATGCTGACCCACCCTAACTACTCTACGCTAAGGTACATGTAATATCATTCCTTCAGGATCAGAGTCAAAAAGTGTTATTGTGAATTAATTTCTTGTAGTCGGGAAGCAGCCAACATAGTTCCAGAGGGTAGAAATGTACAATAAAAGGCTCCTGAAACGCGTTAACAGCAATAAGCAAAGTGTGTATCTCCCTTAATCCCCTACTTTCATGAGGGATAGTGAGAAGTTCTGGAATATGTGTATGTGTGTGCACACCTAAGTGTGGTTTCTAATCATACAATATATATTATGCATGCAGTTTTTACCCTAAATTTTTATTTCTTATTTTTATAAATTCTATATTTGAAAGGGGTGTCTTTGCTTGTTTATACAGTATTTAATCCTTTTGAGAGCTTTTACATTTGGGCTGCTTTTAGGAAGAGATGATGCTATGTGTACCAGTGTGTATAGGGAATAGTTAATATGAAGCTACATTATTTTTTTTCTGGTCAGCAAACCAATCCAACTACAATAAAATGAGCATCTGCAATCTAAATTGTACACTTTCTTTATAATTTACATGCAGTTTACTCTTACATTCACTATGTATATACATTCATTACGTACATTCTCAACTGTTCGATACCTTTTTGTTTAGGGATCTACTACTAGCAACTCATTAAAGGTATTCCAATGAATAGGTCCATATTTCTGCATCGATCCTGAAGTAGTGTCATCTGTAATTCTGTCTTCCGTGAACAGAACATTGGCTTCTTAAACCTTTTTTCTAGGTCTATCAAGGTATAGAGTCTGCCTGGCAGTACTCAAATCTCAGGGTTAATGCCCAGCAGGGCTCTCAGCCTCTGAACCTTCCCAGGCAGCTACTCTAGGTAATGATAGTATGCATTCCTGACTGACCATGGCAGCATATACAATTTGGGTATCTTCACCCAGTCACCACAGGTAGGGCAGGGAAAAGAACAAAACGCCAAAAAGGCCTCTGTCTTGTGACCCTCAGTCTCCTACTTAAGGGAGTCTGCTTTAGTAGGACAAAACAAATATGATAAAGGCCACTATTTCTGTAGGTTGGCCAGCCGTTGACCTCATTTAAAAACCATTCTTATTTTCAATTTAGGAAACCGCAGCATTAATGCAAGTTGACAAATACATTGCTCTGACCACATAGCATGAGGAACAGTGTCATAATATAATGTGGCAATGTCACTTGACCTTGAATGGCACAAAATGTGCAGGGAAGAGAGCAAACCTGTTGAAACTACTTGTATCCATAACGCCTCTGATGAGCAGATTAGGGATGGTAGCCATCACAGAGACTAAAACAGGAACACCAGACACATTGACAGAGCCGGTGACAGAGTATACAGCCCACAATATAAACTTAATATGACCTAAGTCATAGACTTAAACAAAATATAGAAATGGAACAGATCCTCTCCAGCAATGTCAGGTATGTGTTGTAGACAACCGCAGCGATAAGTAGGAAAACACAGCATTTGTAGTACGGCCATCTTCAAAGAAGCAGTATGGGGAGAACACACCATACCTAATACACCTACACCAGCAGTATGGAGAGAAGACAATCCCTAGTATAACCACACACAGCCACAGTATGGGGAGGGGAAAAACCAGCCACCAACAGTACCAACCATTAGGAAAAATTAACTTCCAATAAGGTCATTCATACGAGCAGTATGGGGAGAGGGCACCATTCCCAATGTAGCCACTCACATGGGGTGAATACTCCATCTCTAATACAGACTCACAGCAGCAAACAATAGGGGAAAAAACACTATCTCCAACACAACCCCTATTCATCAATATAAGACACTATGCCCAATATAGCCACTCTTCGCTGTACCAGTATGAAAAAAACAAAAAAAAACTATCCTTCCTCATTTAAAAAAAAAAAAAACCCATCTGAGTCAGTTTAACGGTCACTGCCAGAGCATAATGTATCTACCAAAGTAAATGGAAATCTGCTAATAACAGGAATGCTATAACTATATTAGATCAACATGAGCCATGAAAGCCATGCACACTGTTATCACCTGGGATAGCATATGCATGGCTACCTTTTTGGACATAAACTATGAGAAGTAGCTAAGAGATTGCAATACTAAGAAGAAACACCAGGACATTAATTTTTAATGGATAGTGCTACAGGAGAACTGGTATTGGCACTGTTGCTTTCTAAGCAAATTTAAACTATAGCTCTGCTAAAGTGTGTGTGTGTGTGTGTGTATGTATGTATGTATAGATATATATATTTTGTATGAATGTTTTATTGTCTAGTAGAGGTAACTAGGGTATATATGTACAATTGTGTTTGGTGGCCTTCATGTCTGGGAACTGTAGAGACCTGTGCTGCTTCCTGAATGGGACTCTGGTCAGAGTGTGCTTCGGCACTATCACACTTAATATTGATTGAGAACGGTACAAGTATGGTAAGCAGCACAGGCCTCTACTACTACACATAGCGGCAATTAAGTAACATCAGGGGAAAGAGCATAAAACCATGGTTGTCTAGTATATAACTGGAGGCCACTGGGTTGTATATTTCTAGTGGTCTGGTTGGTGAGATCCACTGGTCTCCCTAACTAGCCCCCAGACCTCGACAATCACAACTCGCAAATCTTTTGCCCATTTAGCCAAATGGCCAGCTGGAATTTGGTTGGCCAGGTTTTTATATGAACAGTCCAAAATCGATGTCTCCATTATTTTATACCTAAATACCTAAATCAGAATTACTTGTCTGTAGTTTTGTAATTAATTATGTTTCCATTGTTTCAATGTTCTAGCACTGCTGGTGGTCCTTCAAAAAAGTATGAATTCTGATTCCTTTCAGAAAATGCTGATCACCTTGTTTCTGTGGTTGGATTGAGGTGACTGACGCAGAGCTGAGACAAGTTTACCCAGACCCAGCCATGTGAATGATCAACCACTTTTGCCCCGCTTTTGTTGATTATATTATGCGTGTTGATATAAACTGGCATGGGAATTGTCCTTTAATCCTGCTATTTATGCATGTTATGTTATAGTTCATATATCATCAATTTGTAATTTTATGACAGATATGAGGTTGGTATGCTTAAAGGGACACTCCAGGCCACCAGACCACTTTTGCTCACTACCCTTAACCCTGCAAGTGTAATTATTGCCGTTTTTTTATAAACGGCAATAATTACCTTGCAGGGTTAACTCCACCTCTAGTGGCTGTCACTAGAGGGCACTTCCTGGACCATAGCACAGAAAACCTGTACTAGAGCGTTGCTGGACGTCCTCACACTGTGTGAGCGTCGCTCAATTCTCCATTTCCCGCTCCAGTTTTCAATGCTTTTCTATGGAGAGCTCTAATGCGCATGCGCGGCATTGCCGCGCATGCGCATTAGGTCTCCACGGCCGGCGGGCGGGATCAGTCTCGCCCACTGGCCGACGTAATGAAGAGAAGGAGCATCGGCGACCCAAAACCACCGCAGAGGGACATCGGCGGGGTCTCAGGTAAGTGACTGAAGGGGTTTTCACCCCTTCAGCAACCGGGGATTGGGAGGTGGGAGGGAGAGGGGACCTGCAGTGCCAGGAAAATTGTTTGTTTTCCTGGCACTGGAGAGTCCCTTTAAGTCTTTTGTTATATTTCACAGCACCAAAGGGGTTAACAATAAACATAGGTAGGAGATAAAACAGTGATGCAACCAGTCAGCATTAAAGGGACACTCCAGGCACCCAGACCACTTCTGCCCATTTTAATGAGCTGCTTGCAGGGCTGCCATCAGAAATGTTGGGGCCCCTGACACAGCTCAAAGTCTGGGCCCCCCGGTGCCTGCACCCGAGTCCGCCCAAAGTGCTGCCCCCCCCCGAATCCCATCACAATGGGACATCACAATGCCCCACCCACATGATCTGCCATGTTAACTAACACCAGTGCTGCAGTGCCGCCGTGTTTACATTAAAAGGCATGCAGGGACAGGCTAGACACCAGAACCACTACATTAAGCTGCAGTGGTTCTGGGGACTATAGTGTCCCTTTAATGTGAGGTAAATTAGAGATTAGTGCCATGAATAATATACTAGATTGCCTACTTACAACCAGATGAGGATGATGATGGGCTCTAGCTGCCGTCTGGCTCCACTGGTCTGGTGTACAACAGGCTCTCTGGAGGCGGTTTGTAACTGTGGTCACAAAAATCACTGTTCTGGGAGAACGGGAAGCAGCTCCATTTTTTTGAGGGCCCTTTACACAGCTCAAGGTCTGGGTCCCAGGGTCCATCTTCATGTTCCACCAATGAGTTTGTTCACAGGGAGTGGAGTGTGTGTGTGGGGGATGTCCTGATGTGTGTAAGGAATGCATTGTGTGAATCTGTGTTTGTATGTGTAAGGGCTGCAAGAGGAGTTTGTTTATGTATGGGATGCAGTGTGTGCGTCTGTAAGGGATGCATTGAGTGTGTGTAAGGGGTGCATTGTGTGTTGCTGTGTGTAAGGGATGCATTGCTTGTGTACGTGTGTCTGTGTGTAATGCATTGTGTGTTTTTCTGTGTGCAAGGGGTGCATTGTGTGTGATGGATGTCAATCTCTCCCCCTCCTCCCCGTCAATTTCCTTCTCCCCCCCTCTCCATCCAATTTCCTTCTTCTCCCCCTCCCTCCCTCTCTCCAATTTCCTTCTTCCCCCCCTCCAATTTCCTTCTTCTCCGCCTCCCTCTCATTTCCTTCTCCCCCCCTCCAATTTCCTTCCTCTACCCTCCAATTTCCTTCCTCTCCCCGTCCCTCAAATTTTCTTCCTCTCCACCCGTCCCTCAAATTTTCTTCCTCTCCCTCGTCCCTCAAATTTCCTTCCTCTCTCCCTGCCTCAAATTTCCTTCCTCTCCCCCCCCTCCCAATTTAATTCCTTTCCCCCCCTCCCCCCCTCAAATTTAATTCCTCTCCCCCCTCCCCCTCAAATTTCATTCCTCTCCCCCCTCAAATTTCATTCCTCTCCCCCCCCTCAAATTTCATTCCTGTCCCCCCTCCCCCTCCCCCCCTCCCTCGAATTTCATTCCTGTCCCCCCTCCTCGAATTTCCTTTCTTTCCCCCTCCCATTTTAATTCCTCCCCATAAATTTAATTTTCTTCCCCCCTCCATTTTATTCCTCCCCCTCCCATAAATTCATTTCTCCCCCTCCCATAAATTTAATTTCTTCCCTCCCCTCAATTTCATTTCTCCCCTCCCATTTCATTTCCCCCCTCCCATTTCATTCCTCTCTCCCCCCTCCATTTAATTCCTCCTCCCCTCCCCCCTCCCCTGACACCGGCCGAGAGGCCTTCCTAGGAGAGCCTCTGTGTGCTTCCTCTCCAGCTCCCTCATGCACTATACTGATGCCGCGGAAGGCGTCATCTTCCGGCTCGGCATCAGTGCGGTCGTGAGGGAGCTGAAGAGGAAGCACACAGAGAGTGCTCCCTCGCGCGCCCGCCCGCCGGTTGTCAGCAGGGCCAGCCTCTGGGGGGCCCTGAGGTGACCGGCTGCTGGGCCCCCCCAGGAGAAGAGGCTGGCCCTGTGGGTACATACCGGGGTCGCAGGGCCCCCTGCGATCCGGTATGTACCCACTGAATCTGGGGCCCGGACGACCTGAGCAGTCCGGGTCCCCCAGGACCGCCGGGCCCATGACAACCGTTGCGGTTGTCATGCCCTGATGGCGGCCCTCGCTGCTTGCATTGCTGTAAATTAACGTTTCATAGAGCCCTTCAGTTCATTCATAAAGCCATGGTTGATCAATCGCCATTTGAATGACACCCCCGGCAAGGTCTTACTGCCTGTCCACAGCTGATTGTGACCAGTGCTGTGCTTTGCCAGCTCTCCAGCATCAGTCACAGTGTAATTGGCTGAAAAGCAATTTCCATTCATAATTACAGTAAATGTAATTATGAAAACAGCCAGTAGATGGTGGTAACAGACCACTATCTTACTGTGTTGAATAGGAAACCCATTCTCTAATATCAGAATTTATATTAGCCAAGGGTTTCCTTAGGGTTAGGGTTGGGGATAGTGGTGGTGTAAGAGTAGAGTAGCAGTGGCGTACATACAGCGGTTGCAGGGGTCGCAGCTGCGACCGGGCCCGCCACTCCAGGCGGCCCGGCTGCCCTGTGGATCCCTGCAACCAGGTTCCCGCCACCATGTGTTGTGGCCCTGGCCCGCGTGGCAAACCGCTAGGGCCGCCGTTCAAGAAGCCCATTGGGTGGCCCATGCTGTTTGGGCCACTCGATGTAGATGGATTTTCATGGGGCCTGGTCAGAGCTGGGTGCTTTAACGGCGTGACCGGGCCTCCTTTGATGAAAGACAAAGATGTGAGGAAGTGACTGCCCCGGTCACTCCTCCCAGCTATCAGAGAGCCGCGTGGGAGGAAGGAGTCAAAGTGGGAACTCTGACTCCCATCAGACTGAGACCCCACTGGACCCAGTGGAAAGTCACCCTCCTGCAAAAGGTAGGAAACAGGAAACATTTTGTATGTGTGTGTCTCTGTATGTATATGTGTGTGTATGTATCTGTATGTGTATGTCTGTCGGGGGTGTATGTGTGTCTCTGTATGTGTGTAGTGTATATGTGTGTCTGTATGTATGTGTCGGGGGGGCCCACGGATCGGTTTTGCACCAGGGCCCCATGGATTGTGTGTACGCCACTGTAGAGTAGTGTTAAAGTTAATGTTAGAGTAGGGTTATGGTTAACTGTATGGTTAGGGTCAGTGTTAATTATCTCTATGGGCTACATTTTCACTTCACAAACTGACAATTGATATTATTTGTTATTTTCATTCTCCACCTTAGGTAGAGAAATCAAACACACTGTGGTCATGGCTGATACTTCTCAAATTCGGGTCACACTCCTCTAGAGGGTATAAGTCCACTAAAGTCTTCTAAGATGTACGTTCCTTGTTTAATATTGTTAAAGCAGCTGACTGGTCCACAGAATCAACATTTGAAACATTTTATTTTAAACCTGTTTCCCTTGTTTCTATGGTTATATAATAATGTAATTATGTATGTAGATTATTCTAGCTTTAGTGTACCAATAATCTTATTTTCTAAAATGACAGGAGACAGATGTTTTGCTTGTCTTTCTTTACTGAACTCCATAGCAGCATTCGTTTTTGTACTTAGAAACAACATAACCAATCAAAAAACAAAGTCACGGATATAAGGTGTTGCCAGTATAAGTCTTCCTCTTTCTTTTATGTGAGGAAACTAACAGGAAAAGTTCCAGAGGAGAAAATAAACACTCCCAAAAAGAACAAATTCCAAATATTGTCCTAAATGTGAAGAAAATGTAACAACATAGAATGCAAGAAGCCAAAACTCTGCATCCTCATTCAAAACAAGATAATGAAAAATTTACAATGAAAAAATAAAATAAACAGTAAAAGAAGATAAATCATGGGTCTGTTGAAATTGTAATAAAAATGTCTGAACATACATAGATAAAGTGTAAAACGGTACAAAAAAAACGGCCCAAACTTATAAACATAGTCTAAACAAAGATATTCATATGAATAAATAAAGCATGACAAAAAAATATAAAATGAGATACAGAATATCAAAAAAATTGTGAAAAAAGGAAAGGTAGGGAAATATTTGCCTCCTTTCATTATTTAAAATTTAGATTACTGATATATTTAAGCCAGCATAATTACTAGATTTTACTAATTACATGACGTAAAGTCATGATTTTATAAAGGACACAGAGGCGAGTATTAGGCTTAAGGGTTAACCATATAATATTCCAAACATATTAACCAATGGGATCAATCCTTGTTCTATGTCCCCTCATGTGACTTAATCCACTTCCTCTTTCTAGCTGACACCGAAGCTGAGCATATCAACGGGTAAAACGATTAACTTGAACTGTCTCAGGTAGAGGGTTCCAGTGAGTCTGTTCTGGTATAGATAGGAAGGAGAGGGTGATCCTGAATATTCCATTACAGGGTTAAGCTGTAGGAGACAGAGAGATAAGTGGTAAAATATATTCAAATATCGTTGTCATACATATAAACTGTGCAAGTTTTTAAAGAAGTGTTATATCTTAACTCATATTTTTATTTGGATCCAGCAAAAAAAATCAAACCCAAATCATTATTAGTATATAGTACATCACTTGAACATCTAACTTGCTACTACCTGTTTATCGGTAATTGGGTGGGAAAAATAACATGTACGACTTACCTGTCATTGGGCGGGCTAATACTCGCCTCCGTGTCCTTTATAAAATCATGACTTTATGTCATGTAATTAGTAAAATCTGGTAATTTTATTAAAGGACACAGAGGCTCACATTACTCTAGTTTAAAGCTGTGATATAACCATAGATGAGATATTTTCTGTTGGCCAGAAGTAGTATTCTTTGAACGTCGATTCCCGGGACCAATCAGCTGTGGGAAGAAGGTCTTCCAATTTACAGCCAATGGAGAATGCCTTAGAGGCCATAGCGCCTCTCGTGGAGTGAGCTCCGTAAACTGATGTGTCGATGTTAGCAGCTGACATTATCCATTTTACCCAGCATGCCAGAGTTACTGTGGATATTGGGTGATGAGGTTTTCTCACCGCCAAGAACAGGTCGTGTGTTGTTGGGTTCCGGAATGCCTGTGTCCGCCTTTCGTATTCCTGGAGGCATGCCACCGGGCAGAGGTTAGCATTGTGAGGAAAGGAGGGATAGAAGACTGACGTGATTTTTGATTTCGTACGTCTGGTAGTAGTAAACAGGACACCTTGCGGGGTGAAGGACCGTGTATCGATATCCAGTGCTCGAACGTCTGACACCATTTTGCAGGAGATTAAGCACAGGAGCATAGCTAATTTTGCAGACACTTGTTTGAGTGTGAGATCTGTGTTTGGAGGCCAGTCTTACAGTAAACGAAGGACCATATTAACATCCCATAAGGCCGTGTAGTGGGGTTGAGGTGGACGTGCAAATTTTATGCCTCGTCGAAGACGACAGACCAATAAGTGTTTCCCAGCTGGGAAACCTTCCCATCCGTTGTGGGCTGCTGAAATTTTTTATCTATACACATTTATGGTGCGATAGGCCAAGCCTTGATCATACAGGGTAGTAAGTAAACGGTACCTGGTTTATAGAAGCACGTAGGGGATCCACGTGTCGTTCCAGGCATCAACTACACCATGCATTCCAGACATGAGTATAGGATCGTTTTGTTCCTGGGGCCCAAGCTTCTGCCAATAAGTCCAGAGTTGTTTGTGAAATGCTTGGCATTGTCCAGGGTCCCCATAGAGGAGCCACGCCAGGAGTCTGAGGTGGCCTTGCACCAGAAGCGGGTGAGGGTTCCCATCGGGGTCTGATAATAGTTCTGTGAATCCTGGAATCAATCTGGGGAGGTCGATAGACATTTCCATGACTGAAGGGAACGAAGGTGGTGCCGTCCAGAATGGTGTTGTTAACACCAACGATGTTTGGGAGCGTTGCAGGTGTAGGAGAGTTTGTGTTATGAGTGAGAACGGGGTGAAAGCATATAGTCGGTTGCTTGACCAGTGTTGTAGGAAGGCATCCACTACCATGGCGTCTGGGTCCGGTCTCCAGCTGAAGAATGAGGGAAGTTGAGCGTTCAGCTGGGAGGCAAAGAGGTTGATGTGCATCGGCCCCAGAGTTGCTGGAGTTTCTGGAATATCGTGTGATTTAGTCGCCAGGTGCTGTTGTCTTGTAAATGTCTGGAGTTCCAATCTGCTACGGTGTTGGAGAGTCCCGGAAGGTATTCTGCCTGTACTGATATATTGCGGCTCAGACAGAAGTGCCAAAATTCTTTTGCTAGGTCTGTGAGTATTGACGATCTCGTGCCACCCAAGTGGTTGATGTAGCGAATGGCCGAAATATTGTCCATACGAAGAAGTATGGAACAATTGGTTGTGTGTCCGAGGAGGCTCCAGAGGGCAAATGACCCAGCTATGAGTTCTAGACTGTTGATGTGAAGTTCCTTTTCTTTTGAGGACCATTTTCCACCTGTAGAGGTGGGACCACAACGAGCGCCCCATCCGAGTCTGCTCGCGTCGGATTCTATGATGAGATCCGGGGTGGTTCCGAAGATCGCCTTGCCATTCCATGCTTCCATGTGTTGAAGCCACCATGTTAGTTCCTCTTTTGCTGTGCAGTCTAGCAGGACAGAATCTGAGTAAGATTGACCCGAACGTAGGTGGGTGGCTTTGAGCTGTTGCAGGGCTCTGTAGTGGATAGGTCCTGGGAAGATCGCTTGTATGGAAGCGCAGAGCAGGCCAATTATCCTGGATAGTTGCCGTAAGGTCAGGACTGGTCGTGACAAAGTCTGTCGGATTTCCTTCTTGATGAGTTTTACCTTTGTGGTTGGTAGACTGAGCGTTCCGTGAATTGCATCTATATTGAAGCCCAGAAACTCTATTCATAGGGAAGGTTGCAGGATTGACTTGTCCCAGTTGATTAGGAAACCCAGGTTTTGCAGCAGGATCAACGCCCAGGATAGATGTTGGTTCAGTAGATGGGTGTCATGAGCCATGATCAGCATGTCGTCGAGGTTTATGATCACACATACATCTCTGCTGCGGAGAAGGGTGACTACCGGTTTCAGCAATTTGGTGAAGCACCACAGGGCTGAGGACAGGCCGAAAGGGAGGCATCGGAAACGCCACATCGTCTTTTCCCATTGGAATTTAATTAAGTGGTGGCATTCCTCTGCAATCGGTATCATGAGGTATGCATCCTGGAGGTCCAGTTTTACCATCCAGTCTCCCAGTCTGAGGAGGTCCCGAAGGCAGTGTATCCCTTCCATCTTGAAGTGATGGTATGTGACAAAGGCGTTGAGCAGTCGCAGGTGTATTACTGATCTCACGCCTCCACCTTTCTTGGGCACTAAGAAGATATTGCTTAGGAAACAGGGGGCGGTAGCTGAGACTTTGTAGATCGCACCTTTCATTTCTAGTGCACGAATCTCGTCTGCTACCAGGTTTTTGTCTCGTGGGGAAAAAACAATCCAATGTGGTAATGAGAATTGAATCGGTTGTTGTGTGAATTCGATGTGGTAACCTAGAATAGTCTCTAGGACCCAGACATCTGAGGTTAGTTTGTGCCAGGCATCGTGGAAATGAAACAGTCTGCCCCCCACATGTAATAAGGAACGGGTGTGTAAAAGAAAATGACTCATCATAAGGCCGACGGCCATAGGAGGATCCCCTGATTCCACGTGGGTGCCACGACCTGCCCCTGGTTGGGAAAAATGGTGGCTGTGTACTGCATTCAGGAGGCTGGAATTGTGTTGGGGCGGAGCCTCGAAAGGCCCGGTATGAAGTCCGGGGGGAGCGGCTGGACAGACGGCCACTCTGTCTGCCGGCCCCACCAAAAACCCTCTGCGAGAACACACGCTTCATATTATTTTGTCTAGTGCCGTGAAAGTGCTGACATAGTTTCCCAGGGTTTTTACAAAGTCGTCTCCGAATAGGAGACCTTTTGCTTGTATGCCAGGCATGTGTATTAGTTTTGGTTCAATCTTCATCAGTATGGCTTTACGCCGTTCCGTAGCCAAAGCGGTATTGGCGTTTCAAATTAGGCAAATGCCTCTCTGGATCCATCCCTTGATGGCCAGTAAGTCAACTGAGGTCCTCTCAGTAAGAGCAGTTTCGAAGGGCATTCCGCCCTTAGCTTACTCCTTGTGGCCTTATCAAGGGGTTTTCTTACCCTGGTCGCTATGTAAATGGCCACATGAGTTATGGGGTACCAGTCCGCTGAGCGCGGATTGTGCAGGGTATTCGAATCAAAGAGGGGTTCCCCTTGGGGATTTAAAACTGCGGATTTGTCCGCCTTTTGATCAGAGTCTATCGCTGGGAGTGCTGTCTCGCTACGTTCAGGGGACAAGTTGTCTGAGTCAACCGGGTCGATGGCATCGGACCCATCTGACACCTCCTCTGAGTCCGAATCGGAGTCAGACAAATCAGGTAGGGCTTTTGCCCTCTTCCAATTCCGCAACGATTTTGCCCGGCAGGGAGCTCTTTTATGTGGGAGCACCACGTCCTCAGTTTCAACAGGGCGCAACCTGTCCGTCACACTGGTTTTAGAGGCAGCACCTGTTAGATGGTGCGATTTGCATGTAGCCTTGCGGCCGCTAGGGACCATCGGCTTACTATCAGAGGTTATAGGGGCTGAGCTGGGGGTTCTGCCAGATGCCATGATAGCGGAGGAGATAGTGTGTGAAAGGGTGTCAGACATTGCTCCCATGTGTCACTGACTTGCTCATTGTAGAATCCAGGAGTGCCTGGAACTCCTCTAAATTCGCGTGGTCCTGGGATGCTTCCTCCCCACTCCCAATGGCCGCAATGCCTATAGGCAGGGCTGTTGTATTACGACTGGTAGGTTTTGCAGAGGTGGGGGAGCAATAGCTTGTTTGTCAGCAGGGGACTGCATACTGGTCAGGATGCACTACAAAGGGAGAACTGGGGGAAGCACTTAGCAGTATTGGACTAATGGAATATGGCACAGGGAAAACAAATACCCTTACAGTGGGTTATGACCCAGAGGATAACTGTAAGTGGTGAAAAAAAAAAACAACTCACTTTGAATAGTGTTAAAGCACTTTAGGACAAGGGCACATTAACGAGGCACAAATAAGATATTGACACAAATAATATGGCAGCTTACCGAGTGTTCCCTCAGGAATTACTCCTGGGGGACACTGGTAAGCTGCCCAACACCTCTATTAGCCAATCAGCTCGCGCCCCTCCCAAAACGAGCGGCGCGAGCGACGGGTAATAGCGCGGCAAATTTGCCAACCCCAAAATGGCCGCTGTGATGCGTGGGAGAGAACCGCGCATGCGCGAGCAGTCTAGGTGGCAGGTAAGTTAATGGCCACGTTCCATTGAGCGGCTAAATTATGAGCCGGTGAGGTGTGGGCGGGTAGGGGGAGGGAGGGGCACCTCGGGGGGCCGTCCCATACACTGTGGGGAAAGGAAGAAAAACGGGTTATAAACAACCCGGACTGCAGTGCAGGATAGGGGCTTGTCCCAGGGAAGGGACAAGTACCCTGCACTAAGGGGGAAAGAAACACAGACAAACAAAGCACTGGTAGTAGATATATACAGTAGAGTGTAAAGAAAAAACACTAACCAAAAAAATAATGAAATAATAAGGTATTAACAGGAAGAAAACACAGTAAATACTACAAATTTTTCAGAGCATGAAAAAATATGAGGTACTTAGCTGAGGCAGCAGCAAAGAAAGAGGAAGTGGATTAGGTCACATGAGGGGACATAGAACAAGGATTGATCCCATTGGTTAATATGTTTGGAATGTTATATGGTTAACCCGTAGGGGTATTTTGTGTTTTTCTTGTTATTGTTATGTTAAAATATCAATATCCTTTCTTTGCTGCTGAGGAATAAAGAAAGAGATAAAGCCTAATGTGAGCCTCCGTGTCCTTTAATAAAATTATAATTTTATTACATAACAGGAAGCTTAATATTTGACCTTTTTACAGCTCAGGAAGTAGCAAAAAAGAAGCATGTGGAGCAGAACGGAAGTAAATCACCTTGAAAAAGTGCCCTCTCTTGACCAGAGCAGTGGACATTCCAGAGGAAAAAGCAATCAAAGCCATGGCAATTCAAACTGAATGCCGAATGAAGACCCATGCCTGTCAAAGACAAAAACCACCTGATCCAGAAAGTGATGTCTAAAACTGTACCATTTCCAATGATACTCTAGTTCTCTGCTCCAGCCATGTTTAAAGTCAGTTGATGTACTGCACAACAGGTACATTACCAATACACTGGAGAACGCAACAATCTGTTGAATCTCTTGCTAGACGGGGAATGGCAAAAGACCATGCAAAGAGCTCCAAGCAATTAATGTGGCTTCTGATTCCACCATACTGCTCTAGAAGCTCCATCCATGGAGGAAGTGCCCAAGTCCCAAAGGCTGGTGTCGAATTCCAGAATAAGATCCAGAGTGGAACCATAAATGGCTCTGTCAATTTAGGTATTAATATGAAGTAATCACCAATGGAGTTTCATCCTCACTAATCTCGTCAGAGATTCCATCAGAATGTATGACAGAAAAAGCTGTCTGAGTGTTTGGATTTTAATTGCTGCATTACTCTGTAATGGAAAACCCAGAAAGATTGCCTGAATGAAAGAAGAAAGTAGTTCGCTAATTCTGGTCAGCAAACAAAGAGGCATAGAATAGTGCAGAAGTACATGCCAGATTTCTTTCTGAATCAAGGAAATCTTTGTCTTGACCTTAAAATTGAGGAACTGGACTGAGTGTGGCAGAGAAAGGGCCAACTTGTCTCAATTCTTGAGAAATTTCAAAGATTTGAGAAAATATATGGCAAAGAGAACAGATAAAGTAATGTCTGTGCAAAAAAAAAAAATCAAGTAGAGGGGTGGAGCTAGCGCGAGAAGCAGACGCACGCACTGTCCCTGAGCTCCAGGTCAAAAAAATACATGATTACACAACAATTTATATGCTTACAGCCCCAACTTGGGTAGCACCGCAACCCAGATCATGTTGGGTTAAAAGACCAAAAAACAAAAATCTGACAAACTGTGACCAGGATGAGATATCGGGGACCTTCACCGACAATTGCATGGCGCGACTGGCCGAAAGATAGCCGCCTACCTAGATGAACTCTCCGACTCCTCTGAGGAGCTGAACCTGGATAGGGAAGCAGCTACACTAGTAGGCAACTTACCTTCCCAGCTGGTCCCAGGAAGTTCTGACTCAAAGCCAGGGACAATGGCCGCCGTGAAGGCACTATTGAATGTCCTCCAAAAAATAAACGGACGCCGCTACGCTTCGTGCTGTTATTACAGGCCTGGTAGACCACCTGGCCTCCAAGGCAGGCCTGAAGATGACTTCCCTTGAGAAAATGGTGCAAGCATGGCAGCAGCATCAAAAGATTTTGGAGCACAGGTTCGCAGCCCTAGAAGACGAGAGGTGTTGCAATAACCTCAACGTTAGGGGAGTACCGGAGGATATACCAGCGCCCGAACTTCCACATATGCTAAGGAGATTAATAGAGGCCACTCTGACTCCAAGACAAGCTAAGCATATCGTATTGGAAGGTGTATAATTTGTCCACAGGCCATGGAGGGCGCCAGAATTGGTGCCCAGAGATTTAGTGGTGCACTTCTAAAACCACAGAGATAAAGCCGTGGTGCTGGCAGCTCTCAGAGGATCCTCACCCTACGCATTCGAGTACATGGGCCTTACTTTCTATGCTGACCTATCGGGCAGCACGCTGCATTGGTGGAGATCCCTCCAAACATTAACCAAACTAATTTGAGACCGCGGAATCAGTTACATATAGCGTCTCTCCCGTGCCCTAGTGGTCCTGCAAATAGAATGCTCATACAACATTCAAGATCTACAAGAAGAAAAAGCTCCTGACCTTCCATGGGATGCTCTACAGCAAGTCAGGCCACAACAAACTGCACAACTGCATCCAGATGGGATCCAGTGAATATCACCCCGTTTACTCTTAAGCGGGCCTACATAACTGCTTATGCTGTGGCCACGACCTAAAGCTTTAGCTGATACCTTACACCAAGTATACCCACAATAGGTGGGTTGTATATAGTATAGTAATGTTTGCATGTTTATTCCTTTCCATATGTTTTATATTTTAAACGATACCTTTCACTTTACTGAGCAATGATATCACACATCCTGCTCTCAGATGGGTTGGCTATACAGCCGGCAGTCCCTTCCCCCCATCTAAAGCTACGCACACACATAGCTTAAACGGTTCTCCTAGGCCTTAAGCTGTCAGGCCCCAGACCGAGTTTTAGGATCAGGCATACTGACCTAGAAGAGTAGGAAGCCCATGTGTATGCATGATGTTAAGGGCTTTAACTCCTTGATACACTGTGGTCCTTTTTCTTTTTTACTTAAACATGTATCTGCTCCCATATAACTTAATTTAAAAATGTATTCTGATATTGACTGCCATATAATTGTTTAATTGTGTTGATTACTTAGCTTGCGCTTGCTGTTGTGGCGTTGCAAGCCTGTTTGCACCACACTAGCACAACAAAAATAAAGATTTTTTTTTAAAAAATCAAGAAAATGGTCCAGAACTGGCTTAAGTCTGATTGATCTTGTCAGGGAGAGATGACCTGGGGAATTCCGCCTTTTGATAATTCTGAACTCATCTATCCGGCAGCATACGTAGACAAAAATGTATGAATTTTGCCAGATCTATAGGCTGACCGAGGATGTCTAAAGCTCTGCAGGTCAAAGAATTTGCTCCCCTGAGCTTCCAAAAATTATTTCAGCATCTCTAGTTGAAGCTGGAACAAAAGACCCATCTTTAGTTTTTGCGTGGAGCTCACCCGCATATGACAAAAAAGTTGGAATTCTTATATTCTTTCCCAATAGTCCTCAGCAGACAGAACCATTCATCTGCAGTGTACACAAATGGAGGCAGGTCTTGATCTTTGCCATCATTAGAGATACTTGCATCTTCTATAGGGAGCTTTGCTGGAGACTTGTCTTCGAACTTACTAAGTGCAGCCTCTGTGCCTTTTCAATTTCGCTATGATGGCTTTTATAGTTTTTTTGAGGAAGCTTTAGTCTTAGCGGAATCATTCGTAGTGTGTTGAGATTGGTGCGCAGGTAGCAGGTATAGGATTAGTGAGTTGCACAAAAAGTTTAAGCACTTTTTCCACCGAAGTGGCCACTGCCACTTTAATCATGGCCTATAAATCTTGGCATTGAGCCAGGGGACTATCTACGGCAACCACAGAGGCCTATACAATGAAAAATGCATAACACTGAAACTGTGCATTTAAAGGTCACCCAGATGAGGCCAAGAAACTATAATGATATGCTGCATGTTTTAGAAAAGCAGAAAAAACATCAGTTATAATCACTATAGTTATCATTATAGAGTAGCCCAACATTTCCCAAATTGTGCACCATGGCTCCCTGGGGCGCCGTGACTGGCATATAGGGTCGCCGCAAAATGCTCTCAGGACCATCCACTTAGGGCCACCCAATGCATTACTGCTTTATTGCGGTTTCTGAAGCATTGGCCCAGTTTCCTGCATAGAGCACCACACAGGAGGGAGGCAGTGGCTGCACAGGCAGAGGCAGCATGAGGGGAGAGGAGCATGAAGATTGAGCTTCTCCAACTAACAGGAGGGTGGCTGCAGATATAAAAATTATCACATTTATGTGTTTATGTGTATGTCAGATTTTGTGTGTCAGTGTGTGCATCTGTGTCAGAATATGCATCTGTGTGTATGTTGTGTATTGGGGTTTATGCAGTCCACCTTCCAGTAGATGGCAGCATAGTGAAGTTATGCACTTGTTCTGTTGTTAGTCTCTCTTGTGTTATGTTATTATGTGTGTGTACTGAAGTAAAGAAAAGTTCTATTTTACTACAATGTCTGAGAGCCATTTTGTGAATATATAACATGCAAATACTTTAAACTGGCGACGAGGATGGGATGTCAGTAAATGGACACTGCAGTATATATATATATATATACAAAGGAAATAAAATCACCCTGAGTGAGGAAGTAAAACTTTTCTTTTTGAATTCTATTATCTACAAAAAATATCTCCAGCATGGCTTCTCTGGGACACATGGAGGAATTTGATCTGGCTAATCCAGCCTCATGGGACTCATATGATGACAGGTTAGTGTTTTTCCTGGAAGCGAATAAGGTGGTGGATGCTATTCAGAAGAGAGCCGTGTCACTGAGTGTTATTGGATCTAAGATTTTTGACACTGTCCGCGCACTGATATCTCGTGCTAAACCACAAGACTACTCATTTGAAGAAATACTGGCACTGTTAAATCATCATTTAGCACCCTCCCCATCTGAAACAGTGAGGCGTTTCCATTTCAATAGACAAAATCAGAAATCAGGTGAAAGCATTGCAGCATACATTGCAGAACTGCGCAGGCTCTCTGAAAATTAGAATTTTGGTACCAGCTTAGAATCCTTGTTAAGAGACAGGCTTGTGTGTGGGGTGCAAGATGAAGCACGGCAGAGGAGACTGCTTGCAAGACAGAATTTTTTTTTAAATTTGACAATTTTTATTTTTGTCATGCATCAAAGTGCAATATAAGGGGGGTACAGAAATAAAAAGGGGGAGGGGAAACATAAATGATACTGTTTACACACAAATCTCCACATTTGATATTTTTAACATTTTATATTTTTAACGTTTCAGGTGCTGTGGGTGTGGTGTGTAGTACTTATCGTTACGTGGCCACCTGCGTTTGTTGTTGGGTTATCACCTAGTGGGTAGCGTAGTTCTGTGGTGTGTGTGCCATGGTGCCTGTCCATAGTCCGCGTGACTCACTCGGACCCCGAAGAGTCGCATATTGGATTTCTGTAGGAGGGTAGTCCTCTCTCCGTTTGGGAGCTCTGTTCATTGCTACTTGGTTTCTGGCTTTAGGCATAGCATATGGGGGTATCGAATGAGACACGCGTCAGGACAGCTGTCTAGGTGTTTATTGAGTTGAAGTTAAATCGAGGTGGGGGGGTGGGGATAGGATGTAAAGAAACTTATTCTGTAGGAAGTTGTGAGTGAATGCTCCGCTTTGCCCTCCCTCCGGGGCCATGTTCCCTAGAAGTTAGTTCTGTCAGTCCACCTCCTGCATTCTATCGTTACTGTTTATCGTTTCTGTGACGAGAGCAATCTCATCACATTGCATTGGAGAAGCCTGGTTGCTCGGCCGTTGCCTTTAGACTATGGCCCCATGTTAAAAGACATCTTTTTTACCTGCAGAAAAGGTTTATTCGTTCTTTTCTGCCTGGTGTTCGGTAGATTCAATCTACCGAACAACCACACGAATGACTGGACCACCTGGGAGCTGGAGTGTGCCGGCAATTAACCTCCCTGAAGCTGCGGTTAACCGCAGCTTAATTGACGAATGCTGGGTGGCTGCCATTCGTATCACGAACACGAGGTCGCGGCCATTTTAAAAATGCGAATGCACAGCGGTGTTTGACGCTTAATTCATGAAACTGAAATCGAAACACAGTTTTGCGTGAACACCGCTGAAGCCGCCGACCTCCCTTCTTGTTTGGTGAAAGTGCACGAACGGCCCGGTGTTCGGTAGTTTTGCTTGAATGTGTTATACCCCAGATAGGAATCCCATGGAGCCCATTCGCATGAGAACTGACTGTGTAAAGACTTTGGCTCCATGGCGATTACACTGTATTCGTGTGGTCTGAGCGCCATTCGCTTAATAATGTGCGCTCAGACCTGAGCTATCTGGGGATATGTTAAATGTATGCTTTTAATGTTATGTGTTTCACATAGTGTATTTTAATAGTAATTCGTGTGTTAGTATCCCCACGTGCATTATGGCGATTTGCCTTTGTCTTGGGAGATAATTGAATTACTTCTCAATTATCTCCAAGGCAGAGGGGACTAAGCCAGGATGCATTGTGGGAATATAATGTGACTGTGTGTCCTATTTGTCTACTTGCCTTTGTTACAGTCTCCCATTTGGTCCCCTAGGGGAGTGTCCACCAGGTGGGAGACCTGCATAAATACTGGGCAGGTAGCCCTCATTAAACAGACCACTGCTTGACCCTCAACATGGAGCCTTGTCTCGTCTTTGGGGGGATTTACTGAATGCTTATAGAGACTGATTGCTAGGAGTGTAAGCCGCTTGGATGCTTTTCTTATTCGTCTGCTTGCAGTGATTCTTATGGTTCCAGTTCGTGTGTTTGGAGTGCTATGTTGGATGCCGTTCGGGAGTTTGGAGCATTCCCTTATTGGCAGTTCGTGAGTTTGGTGTTTTACAATAGCTGTACCTGCATCTCTGGAAAGGGGGACGATCGTCTAAACGGTTTTTACCCCTTGTGTGCAAAACGGTCCGTTACAGTTTCAACCTCCCAAGTCGTGCCCTTGCCTCTCCCTGTCTCTCTGGCATTTTCTCATTCCTCGGCTCCTCATGCCTTAGTGTGGTTGCAAGACAGAATTTAACTTTTATTATTGCTCAAGAGGAAGCGCTTGCAAATGAGGCTGCATATGTCCATTCAAAAGAGATACAATCCTCCTCCAGCAAAGAGAACTCACCTGAAATAAATCTAGTGAAGAAGACTGATGTTAAATCAAAAGACTTTTCACCACGCACTGATGTCACAGCTCCAATTAAAGGAACTTGTTATAGTTGCGGTGGAAAACACAGGTGTAATATATGTCGTTTTAGAAATGCAGTTTGCCACACATGTAAACGTACAGGTCACATACAGACAGTTTGCCGAAGACAAGCCAATGGAATTCAGACCAAATATAAGAATGTGAATAAAATACAAACCACAGCGCGCTCTTTTAAAGGACCACTATAGGCATCCAGACCACTTCAGCTTAATGAAGTGGTCTGGGTGCCAGGTCCAGCTAGGGTTAACCTGCTATGTTTATATTAGGGTTATTCCAGCCTCTAGTGGCTGTCTCATTGACAGCCGCTAGAGGCGCTTGCGTGCTTCTCACTGTGATTTTCACAATGAGAACACACCAGCGTCCATAGGAAAGCATTGTGAATGCTTTCCTATGAGACTGGCTGAATGCGCGCGCGGCTCTTGCCGCACATGCGCATTCAGCTGAGGAGGCGGAGAGGAGGAGGAGAGCTCCCCGCCCGGCGCTGGAGAAAGAGGTAAGTTGAACCCCTTCCTCACCCTAGAGCCCTGAGGGTGGGGGCACCCTCAGGGCACTATAGTGCCAGGAAAACGAGTATGTTTTCCTGGCACTATAGTGGTCCTTTAATACTCCACATTCCGTTTCAGATAGTGAAATGACTGCAGGTGTTTACTCAAATGACTATGTGAATAAAGTGGAAAATTCGCCATCAGGACTGAAGATTTACACTGAAATTGTGCTGCAAGATGTTCCGTGGAAAATGGAAGTAGATTCTAGGTGCGTTTATTCTTTGATTTCAGAAGAGACATTTACATTGTTATGGCCTCATAATTCTCCTTCAATAGTACCTTGTGATATTCATCTGGTGGACTACAACAAACAGGCTGTGGATGTTAAAGGGGCTTGTTTTATACCAGTAAAATATGGTAAATTCAGAGGACACTTACGTTTAATAATTACTAAGGGACAAAGAGCAAGTTTGCTAGGTAGAGAGTGGTTTGAACCCTTAGGAATTTCATTAACTGGATTTAATAATGTATCCACAGATATTCTACAGAATGTGATTGATAAATTTAGTGCAGTTTTTGAAGAAGGTCTTGGCATGTTTAAAGGCCTTCCTGTTTCTTTTGTATTAGATTCAACAGTACCCCCAAATCGTATGAAGCCTCACGAAATTGCATTAGCTCTCAGACCAAAAATAGATGCTGAGATTACACGTCTTGTGGAACAAGGTATACTTGAACCCGTAACACACCCAAAGTGGTGTACACCCATAGTTCCGGTCATGAAACCAAATGGGGATGTCAGAATCTGCGCTGACTACAAATGTACAATCAACAAAGCGTTGCAAGAGCATCCCTATCAAATTCCAGCTGTTAATCAAATTCTTACTACTTTGGCAAAAGGAAAAATATTTGCCAAGTTGGATATGGCTCAAGCCTACCAGCAGTTACCTGTGGATGATGAGGCTGCTGATGCACAAACGATAATAACACACAAAGGAGCTTTCCGAGCAAGACGTTTGCAGTTTGGAGTTTCCATTGCTCCTGGCATATTCCAGAATTTAATGGAGGACCTCTTATCTGGACTTCCAGGTGTAGTGCCTTATTTTGATGACGTTCTTATTGGAGCAGATTCTATACAGTCATTGGCTGCACAGCTACAACTTGTTTTACAACGTTTTCTTGATGCTGGTCTAAAACTTAAAAAAGAAAAGTGTGTTTTTGGTGTAAGCAGCATGGATTTCCTTGTTTACCGAGTTGACGCACAGGCAGGGCCGGACTGGGGATACGAAGCAGCCCTGATAAAAAAAAATCTATGCCAGCCCCATAATTCATTGTGCTATGTAGAATATATATATATATATATATATATATATATATGCAATTGAAATAGTTGGCTGCACTCTCGGATTTCCTTAAAATGTAACTTTTATTGAAATATTTAAGAGAAGATCACTGTTTCAGTCCCTCTTGTGGACTTTCGTCATGATCCTGATGCAAGTCCACAAGAGGGACTGAAACGTTGATCTCTTAAATATTTCAATAAAAGTTACATTTTAAGGGAATCCAAGCGTGCAGCCAACTATTTCAATTGCCTATATATATATATACTGGATACTGGAGCCCTGGTGATGCAACAGTATATATATATATATATATATATAATTTATTTATTTTTTATTGATACATTTCTTCTTCTTCAAAATATTAGTTCTTTTAGGGTAATTAAATTATATAGTAACGCATACTCACACACAGACAATCTTACTGATGCACACAAATAGACTCATTGACAGACAATCTCAATGACACAGACAGACAAGGTTACTGGCA